TGGCTCTATCTATATCAGGCGCTTAGTCTATTCGATTGACGTTAGAGGCAGTGACGAATTGAAGTCTGCAATTGCGATTTCTGGATTCTTTATTTGTTGTTGAGGGAGGTCAGAGAGAGTCCAACAGCCACCTCAGCCCCCATGAAATCATCATCGAGGTCGTTGCTTTCTTGTAACTATAGGTGTCAAAACATAGCCTGACCCGATTAACCCGCCCGATCAACCCGACCCGCAACCAAACCGCAACCCGAATTGATTAAAAGTCAACAACCCGTAACCCGCCCGACCCGCAACCCGATTGACCCGCAACCCAACTAACCCGCAACCCGATTGACCCGCAAACCGATTAACCCGAACCTGATTGACCCGCAACCCGACTGACCCGCAACCCGATTAACCCGAACCCGATTGACCCGAACCAGACTAACCCGTAACCTGACCGACTCAACCCGAATTTCATCTAATCCACTTGAATAATTATAAAAATATACAATACATAGTTTTTCAAAATAAAGTTTTTCATTCTAAACTTAATAAAATTATTTTTTCATTTCGTATAGGAAATTTAAAAAATATGAAACTCACTTGATATTACGTATTTTAAGAAAATTACGAAAATTGAAACATGAAGGTCACTTGAGATCATACAATATTAATATAAAATATAAATTAAAATTTTGGTTAATTTAACTATTCAATAAACTTATCAATTAAATATAAATAAAGTAAAGTAATGTATTTGGTAATTTGATGTTTTTAAATGAAAAGGGAAATTTTGGTGTATTCAAGTTTTTGGGAAGAGAAAGAAGAGGGGAATTTGGTTCTTTGAATTTTTTAGAAAAGAAACAAGTAAGAATTTTGGTGGTTTTGATATGTGGGAAGAGAAAGAAGTGGGAAAGTTTGATTCTTTTGATTATGAAAGAGAAATAAGGAGGGAAACTTTTGAGTTCTCAACTTTTTGTTGAAGGAAAGAAGAGGGTAATTTGGTTCTTTCAATTTTACGGAAGAGAAAGAGGAGGGAAAATTGAGTTTTCTAATGTATGAAAGTAGAAAGAAGGAGGGAAATTTTAGTATTTTTGTGAAAAGAAAGAAGGAAACAAATTTGGTGTTTTCAATTTTTTTGGTTTTTCATAATTTTAGCTTTTGAAATATGAATCTTTAACTTTTATATGGAGGGCATGACTAGTTAAAATTATTCTTATATGCTTTGAAGGCTAATATATATATATGTATGTAATTGTTTATGGGCTAATAAATAAATTAACCATTAGTTACAACAATTTATACTAAACTTGATAAGTAATCTTTGACGGTTCGTTGTTTAGGATATAAAGTATATGGTTAGGGTATAAGATATTGATGGTTTTGACGGTTCTAAGTTTTTTATTAACATATGTTCACTTGAAGTCATTTGAAGTCTTTAACGACAGGAGATCCCTTTTTAATTTATGTTTATGGTACGTGGTTAGTGTACAAGGTATGTGGTGTAAAATATAGGATATATGATTAGGGTATACTAATTAGCAAATATCACTTTTTATCTATGTTTTGAAAATCAAAGTATGAATTTCACTTTTAAATTAACTATACTAGCAAAATCACAACTCAAAGACATATGGTTAGGGTATAGGGTATAGGTTATGTGGTTAGTGTATAATGTATTGATGGTTTAGGGTATACAATCAACAACATATACTAACTTAATATTGTTGATTGAGGGTAAGGCTAAGTGTATAGGATATATGCTATTGAGTAAGTTATGATTGAAGTCACAATAATTTTACTAAATTTGATAGCTAATCTTTAATGGTTCAATTTTTAGGATAATTCGAACAATTTTACAAATAAATCGTTTGACAACAGTTTACTGAAGTTATTTGGGCAATGAGTTATTTCGAAATAACTCATTTTATCACTATGCTTTTGCCAAATACCACACGCCAAATACCAGATTTGCATGGTTATACTAAACGAGATACTTTAATCCAATTACTACTGAATTAATACTAAAATATCAAATAAATAATTAATGTTGTCTTTTGGTTGCAAATATTGATATCACCATTACTATTAGCTATAATACTTTACCAATTATGTTTAATTACATAACAAGTTTGCAAGTCATACAAATTGATTTAACATTTTGACTAGTTTTTTTCAAAAAAATAAAGTATATATATACGAGGTAGAAATAAATTGGTTAAAAAGTTGAGAAAATATTTTAAATTAGTGTAATAAAATGTGTAAGTTGGTAATGAGTAATGAGTTAAGTTACTTGATGCGCTGGCCCGAACAACCCGAAACCCGATCCGCCCGCAACCCGCCCGACCCAAAACCCGATGAACCCGCAATCCGATTTGTCCGCAACTCGATTGAACCCGAACCCAATGAACCCGCAACCCGACTAACCCGCAACCCGTTTGAACCCGAACCCGATGAACCGCAACCCAATGAACCCGCAACCCGACTAACCCGTAGCCCGTTTGAGCCGAACCCGATTGAACCCAGCCCGAACCCGCCCGATTGACACCTATACTTGTAACAACACGAACAAGAGTGAGTTGCTAGGATAAGAGATCGCAAAATATAGTACTAGGAAGACTCAGATGAAGAAAGACATAAACTAGAAAAAAGAGGAAGAAGAAAGGGAAACTTGTATTATTTGGGTTCAGATATAAAACCCATTTTGTTTCCAAATGAGTTAGTTGCTATAAATCCTACAAATAAATTCCTTGTAATTTTAAAAGAGAGATTTGAGTCCAAGTATCTCATTATTAAAATCTCTGAGCCAAACTATCCCAAAAGAAAGTCAACATTCATGTTTTTTTTTCCGAATTACATTTAAAATTTTAAAATCAACTAAAAGTGACACTCGACTTAGGCTTGGCTGCCTCATTGTCATAGTTGTCATGTCTGTTGGTACAGTCGAGTTCAACCGGTACTAGTTACAAAACCAACTAAAATGCCAGCGGTACCGCCATGATTGATTTCCGATTTTTATACAAAACGACGTCGTTTTGGTGAATTTAATTTATTTTTTTATATTTGTTTCTTGAATTGATGTTTTTTTGTTGGATCCAAGTATGAATATTTTGATGTTTTTGTTATTTGTTGGATTTAAATATAAACTTTTTTATGTTTGTATTGAATATATTGTATTAAACATTAAAAAAATCATCATATTTTTAGAATGTTGTATTTTATTTAAATATGTATATAGGTTTTAGAGAGATTGTTTTCAAATATGTTATATATGTCTAAATTCATTTCCTGCTAATAATTTTCTACCTTTCTATATATTTTGCTAAAATCGATATAAACTAAGGGGTTGTTTGGAAGTTGTGATTGTTAGAGTTGTGTTTGTTGAATACTTGTATTGTGCACAATACAATGTTCGGAAGTGCCAAAGTGTTAAATAATGCATGCATTGTTTTAGGTAGGTCCCACCAACAATCACAAAAAATGATGCATTATACAATCTCAACTAAAAGTTGAGATTGTTGGTTTTAGATTTGTGTCAACTTTTTCTTTCAATTTAGGCAAAATACAGCTGTATATCCACAACTATCAGGTTTGTGACAAATATATCCACAACTATCGAAATACACAAAATATCCATTTCCGTCCACTCCGTTAACTCCGTTAGTTAACTTGATGACTGGACAGACGGTGGATGCTTAGTTGGCGTGTTTCTGACCCCACTAAATGACGTGGATTAAAAGAGGAAATTTTTTTTAGGCAAAATACAGTTGTATATCCACAACTATCAGGTTTGTGACAAATATATCCACAACTATCGATATACACGAAAAATCCAAAAATCGGAAGGTTGTGTGACAAATCTATCCACTTTCGTCTAAACCTATAACGACGTGTCAGACGACGATAAGTTGACTAACGGAATGCTAAATCGATGCCATCTCACCTGCCACATAAGCCAAAAAGCAACCAAACTTTACACCGTTATCTGTTAGACCTCGCTGCTGCAGTCTTCTCTGTTGGGGATTTGGTTAGATTCAAGCTTTTTTTGTTTGAGATTCAAGCTTGGTATCACCATGGCGCCCACTGCATGGAAGCTGTCAGATTAAAAGGGAGGCAATGGTTGAGGATTGTGGTTGGAATCGAAATATGGGCTTGGGGTAGGGTTTTTTGGGGGTGGAGGCGTCGATCGGAGGAGGATCAGTGGTTATCGAGCATGTTTCTGGTTTGGATTTTTAGTCTCGCCGTCTGCGGTTTTTAGGGTTTTTAAAATTTTCTCTTTTTTAATCCACGTCATTCAGTGGGACCAGAAACACGCCAACTAAGCATCCACCGTCTGTCCAGTCATCAAGTTAAATGACGGAGTTAACGGAGTGGACGAAAATGGATATTTTTGTATTTCGATAGTTGTGGACATATTTGTCACAAACCTGATAGTGGTGGACATATTTGTCACAAACCTGATAGTTGTGGATATACAACTGTATTTTGCCTTTATTCAACTAGCCTATTTGACATGTAGGTGTAAAGTTTGGTTGCTTTTTGGCTTATGTGGCAGGTGAGATGGCATCTATTCAACATTCCGTTAGTCAATTTAACGCCGTCTGACACGCCGTTATAGTTTCAGACGGAAGTGGATAGATTTGTCACACAACCTTCCGATTTTTGGATATTTCGTGTATTTCGATAGTTGTGGATATATTTGTCATAAACCTGATAGTTGTGGATATACAACTGTATTTTGCCTTCAATTTATATCCCCAATAGTTCTTGTCTTATTCTAAAAGTTGAGGTTAAATGTGACATTTCCCCATAAAAGTAACTTTATGTAAATCAATGCATAAAGTAGAATCTTAACAACCAAACAATGTATTGTTAAAATGAATCCATTGTATCAATACATGCATTTATATTATGGTGATTCATTACAATGCAACAATTTAACATTCACAACTTTCAAACCCCTAATTATACAATTGGTCGGACCATGCCAAATAAGAATGAGGATAATCCGGTTTGATAACATCCTCATTGCCATTTGTATATTTTGAATTTTCTTTTTTCTTCCGGCCATACCAACGACTTGTGAAAGTGGTGATTGCTTGCTTTGGAGCTTTAATTTGAATTAAGAGAGAGAGAGAGACTAGAGAGTGGGAGTCATTCCTAGTCAGAGAAAGGGGAAAGCAAGAACGAACGGACGGGAAGAAAGGGATAACATAAGCAGCCATTCAATTGAAGAAACATCCAGCTTCGTTGCTTCAATTGCATTGCATTGTTGCTAGGAAAATCGAAAGAGATCCAGTTGTAGCAGAGAGAGCAGCGACTTTATTGATAGCATTCCCTTCAATTTCCAGCAGTCGGTGGACAAAAGAGGTTTGCGCCGGGGATTCAATCTCACACTTCTTTACTCCGCCGGCATTGACTGATCGAGACCCTAATCGACCCGACCCGTTGAAGGAGGATTTGAGAGAGAGAGTGAGCGAAAGAGTTGGAGATACCGGGGCGGATTATGAACGGTATGGGACGGCAGGGACAGAGATCTGGAGCAGGAACGACGGCCACTGTACACCATCAGAGACAGCACTCCGATAACTTCGTGGACACCTCATCCAATGGCCGATGGCTTCAGTCTGCTGGCCTTCAGCACCTTCAGAACTTCTCCTCTAATGGAGCTTCTTCTATTCCTCCCCTTCAGGTTTCCAGATCTCTCTCTCTCTCATCTCCGTCCGTCGTTTTCTTTCCCCTCTTTCCAGTTTATTTGCATTTCACCAACCAGCCGCTTCGTTTGGTTCCTTAGAGAAGTAGGGACGAGAAAGTGTGACGGCGAAAGCGCGTTCTATTATATCCTCTATTGACTCGCCTTTAACTTCGACGAATTTTTGAATTGAGCTTGGTTCTGATAAGAGTCGTCAAACTGCAGATCTAGGTTTCTTTTGTTTAGTTGCTGTTGCTTAATCTGAGCGCAAGAAAATGGAAGAGGTTTTCCCTTTTTTGAACTCCCGAAGCAGTGCTATTTCTCGCTATCCATATTACTATGTGGTTCTACGTGTTGACGATGCTACATTACGTGTTTCTGGAAGCAGGATTACAATTTCTATGGTGGCGGGGGAGGACTGGGGCAGGGGATGAGGATGTATCGGAATGCACAAAGGGGGTTTAACGGCGGAGCTGAGTTGTATACTGAACCGTCAACACCTCCAGTCAGTTCAAGGCAAACGGGCGAGAGGAAGAGCGGGGAAGAGTCTCCAACTGAGTTCAGTCCTGGGCTGTTGGATCTTCACTCATTTGATACTGAGTTACTTCCTGAGGTGGGTCTTCTGCTTCTTCCATCTAGTTATGTTTGTTCATTGGATTATGGAATGACTTCTGGAGTTCTAATTACTCATCAATAGGGGAATGGTGAACTTCTGTAAAGGATTCATATGGCAGTCAGTCTTGACTTCTTGCCACTACTAAGTGTGGGACATACTTCCAATTAGTTTGGCTTGTTTGAAGATTTTCGGGTTGCTTACCATTTTGAAAGTTATATCTGGTGATCATTTGGTGGATAGAATATTTATTGTTTTTAGGTGCCGAGCCAAACCCCTTACTTCCATGTCCATCATACGGTTGACCTTCCGAGAAGTACCGTTGCTTCTCTCAAGTGTTATCTCTTTGCAATTTTATCTTTTAAGGGTATGCGTTTAACTGACACATGCAAGGCATACCTTGTTTTTTATAACGATAAATGTTTTTCTTCAGCTTCATAGTTGGCTCCCACTGTAGCAAAGTGGACATCTTATGCGCTAACATTTTTTTAGTATTTCAGTTTGGGTTAGAGGTATATGTTGCTACAGTTTGCACTTAATTTGATGTCACATTCATTCTCAATCTTTTCTTTCTGTTGGTCAGTTGCCAGTTTCCAACATGTACGACGGATCTTCTCTGTTTCAACCTGGTCGAGGAAGAAGCTTTGATGACACTGAGCCTTATGTTGCAAGCAAGTTGGCTGCCAGAGCTCCTGCTGTACCAGAAAACAATGTCCTGAAAAGTTTTGCAGCAGACAAGGAGAAGACCAGTTCTGTTGCAAAGATAAAAGTGGTGGTGAGCGAGGATGTTGTCTGCATTAAGAGCTTCCCTCTTATTTCTTATGCCTATGATTTGTTCTGTCATTCTGTTTCAGAGTTGCATTCCCGTTCAAATTATTAATGATTTGCTGTCTGGGCTACTTGTATGCAAGATATGTGGTGCTCAATTTGGTATGTAATGATCCTATCTGAATACAGGTCCGTAAGAGACCATTGAACAAGAAGGAGCTCGCAAAAAATGAAGAGGATATTATTGACACACACAACAATTCTCTAACAGTCCATGAGACTAAACTCAAGGTAACCTTAACCAATTAAGTTTCCTTCCCCCTTTATCTCAAGGTGAACCATCTCGAAGGAATGCAAGTTAAGGGAATACAAAACGGCTTATTTCCACAGTGTTGATGTTTCAAGTTGGGAATTTCAGTGGATGTAGGAATGGAGGTGGTAAGGTGAACTTTGTCATATTTGAAATGATAGTCGAATTTTGATTATACTGAAGAATGTAGGTGTCTAGAAATAGATGTCGAGAGGTTGAGAAAATTCTGTCATATCAACATGATTAGGAAAGTGTACCATCAATGTCGATATAGTTTGATGCATACTGTGGCTGTTACAGAGACCGGCATAGTCTGTCTTCATGCCTATTGGCTCTTGAATTTAACTGCAAGGAGCATTTGTTAACATACGCAACAGATTGAATGACTTTTAATTTGTGATTAAGGCATGTGTGAGAACTTGTTATTTTGCTCACTCCTTTGTGGTTATTTGAATTTCCCAAAGATAATTTCTCTGATCACTAATCTGACAATCTATATTTTATTTCTTGCAGGTTGATCTAACTGAATATGTTGAGAAGCATGAATTTGTCTTTGATGCCGTATTAGACGAGGAGGTCTCAAATGACGAGGTCAGTATGGTGATGGAAATTTTGCTAGTTCACTTTATAGAAATCTTAAGTGTACTTTAATAACAGCAATTATTTGTTTCTCAGGTGTATCATGAGACAGTGGAACCCATTGTCCCGATAATTTTTCAACGCACTAAAGCAACTTGCTTTGCATATGGTCAAACAGGTGAGTTTCTTACATCCAGAGTCTGCATTCACACATCAAATGTAGAAGGGTTTTAGATACATGATCATGTTAAAGCCAAGTAAGCCAAATGGGCCTTGATGTGATAATAGCTAGAATTTCTGTCAACGGAGTGAACCACTGTTGAGAGAACATGATTTTTTTCCGGAATTTCACACTTCTCTTGCTGTTAAACCTTCTAATCCACATTGTTCGTTGGTGATTGCTGGCTCCACTTGGAATAGCTTACCTATTTAGATTTCGTGTATCATGGATCTTCAGTGTCATAGTTGCTACATACATTGAGCTGACAACAACTGTTTTCAGGAAGTGGGAAAACTTATACTATGAAGCCCTTGCCTCTCAGAGCGTCACGAGATATCTTGAGGTTAATGCAACATACGTACAGAAATCAAGGGTTTCAGCTGTTGTTCAGCTTCTTTGAAATATATGGAGGAAAGCTATACGATCTCCTCAGTGACAGGAAGTGAGTATTTTTCATATTTTTTAAAGAGAACAGGAAGTAAGCAGTGAAGTTTCTTATGCTGTTTCCATTCTAGATATGTTCTGACCATTTGGGTTCTGATTGTGAAGGAAATTGTGCATGCGGGAGGATGGTAAGCAGCAAGTTTGCATTGTGGGTTTGCAAGAGTACAGAGTTTCAGATGTAAAGATGATAGAAGAACTTATTGAGAGAGGAAATGCCACAAGAAGTACTGGCACAACTGGCGCAAATGAGGAATCCTCTCGTTCACATGCCATACTACAGCTTGCTGTAAAGAGGACCGTTGAAGGAAATGAAACAAAGCCACCACGTCTGGTTGGGAAGCTCTCCTTCATAGATCTTGCTGGAAGTGAACGTGGTGCAGATACTACAGATAATGATAAACAGACGAGGTACAACCATACTCTATGGCTTGTTTAGATACTGTAAGACAATAACTGAAAGGTGCATATAATCTACCCAACACAAACTTGGTTCACTCACTAAGCATATGTGATGCAGTAAAGTCAAAGCATCAAGATTAAAGTTTTCTCGAATATAGCTTTTCTTATGTAATTTTGAAACAGGACTTGAAATTGGATAGTTACTGCAATATAATATATATTTCATGCTTTGGGTCAATTGTTCTGCTTCTCCTCTTACGAATTGAATGTGTAGAATGATCACAAGATAAAGGTTTTGTGGAACTAACTAGATTAAATTGTTTGAGACGGTTTTATGTCGATTGATATTGGGTGGTTTAGGTTTTCAGAGAGTTCTATTATGCACATTTGGATCTTTTTCTTAAACGTGGTCAAACATGTTACAGGATGGAGGGTGCAGAGATCAACAAGAGTTTGCTTGCACTAAAGGAGTGTATAAGGGCTCTCGACAATGACAAGAGTCATATTCCTTTTAGAGGCAGTAAATTAACTGAGGTTCTAAGGGACTCCTTTGTCGGCAACTCTCGCACTGTCATGATATCATGCATTTCACCAAGCTCGGGCTCATGTGAGCATACGCTCAACACATTGAGATATGCCGACAGGTGAATATATAATATGCCTCAATGTTCCATATTCAGGCACATCTTCTTGATGTGTCTTTGATTTTCACTAATTGTTTTCCATATACTTTCCTTCCAGAGTCAAGAGCCTTTCTAAAGGGAACACTTCCAAGAAAGATGCACTATCTTCAACCTTAAACTTGAAGGAGTCGATTGCTTTGCCCCTGTCATCAGTTTTGCCTGTTGGCTCGCCATTGGATGACGATGTAACCGATGCATGGGCTGAGCAAGATGAAGGAGATGATTTCGAGGATGCAGAGGAGTATGAACTGGAGAAACCAGCGAGGAGAGAGAATGGAAAGCTAGTAGCAGCTTACAATCCTCCGCCTATCGCAGAGGACAAGTTTCGGAAACCCAATGGTCAGACTAAATTCAGCAATCTACCAAAACCCACAAATATCAAGAAGTCAGAATCAGATGATGATTTAAGCTCCTTGCTAAAGGTAACTTTAAAAAGAGACCACCTCGTACTGAAAAAAAAAAAGTCTTCAAGCTTAAGCTGATTCATGGAGTTTCCAATTTGTTTTGGGCTTTGTATTATCCTCAGGAAGAGGAAGATCTTGTCAGCGCTCACAGGAAGCAGGTGGAGGATACCATGAAAATTGTTAAAGAGGTATGCCAAATTAGTAAAAGAAAACAAAAAAAGCCATTTCCTCAACACTCCCATGTTCCATGCAGTCCAGAAGCTCTGAAATTACATCATGTTTTCCCCCTATTATGCAGGAGATGAATCTGTTGGTAGAAGCAGACCAGCCAGGGAATCAACTAGACGATTATATCACTAGGTTGAACGCCATTCTTTCCCAGAAGGCTGCTGGTATACTGCAGCTTCAAAATCGGTTGGCACATTTCCAGAAGCGCTTAAGGGATCACAATGTGTTGGTGTCTTCCTCCGGTTATTAAGGAGAGGGACAGAATCTTCGTTAAGAAGATATTCCTATTTTCCAGGTGATCAAGGAATAGATCGAGTTCGAGTTCATCTTGGGCATTTCGGAGATCCTTGTCCTGAGCTCCTGTGTCTCGAATCAACCTATCTTTCGTGGCATCTTAAAATTACTGTTACTTACTACTACTGCTACTGGCTTTGGCACCTTTTTTTCTTCATTTGATATAATTGTTCATGCTATTCTGCCTCCGACGCTAAATGATAATAGAGAGGCCTAGAGCAAGGCATTCAGGAATCTTCTTCCCAGTGCCTCGAATCTGGGCCTAGCATTTCTAAAGTTGTGAAAACGCTGAACTTCTGTGACGTGATGATTCTTTAATCGACAAATAGAAACGCCTATTTTCTGCAGCTAAACTTCAGATAATGTATTCACACATCAGGTTATTGTCCTCGGATAAGGCCAAAAGGGCCTTTTCCACTTACACGCATAAGGTTAATTCAAAATCTTCAGCCGGAGAAAAGGATTACGTTAGGGCCTGATTAGTACCACGCGGTTTGTGAGACTCACGAGTTACGAACGATCTTCGATGGTGGGGGTTGTAAGAAAGGTTCTCAGAAGAATCTTGGGAGTTGGGAGAGTTGGGACCTCCAATGCGAAGGTTAGTAAGAGAAAGTGATAATGTTTAAAGAAGAGAGAGAGAGTAGTGGTTGTAAGTTACTATAAATGCTGCCCTTCGAGGGTATGTATACTAATTCTGGTCGAGGTTCGGGCATTTAATGGCTTGTCGGGCGTTCTAGGATACCTCTGGGTTTATTAAATGTGTTGCCAGTACGAATCCCTGTCAATCTTCGTACGAAATAGGTCAGAAGGCTGTTGGACCTTTATGTCGGGCGGCCTTGCCAGGCTTACGGTGTCCCACTGTCGGGCAGTCACCTAGTGTCGAGTCAAAGACCGCCCCGGGGCTTGTGCTCTCTTATTTGGGTCTAGCCAATTTGTTTTGTGGGTTTTAGTAACCATGGGCCTTAGGGCCCATGTAGCTCAATACTTGGCCCAACATTTGCCCCTTAGGCGTGACTCGTGAGAAGCGTTAGGTTTTCGCGGCTACTTTGGTCCACTCTAGTGTTATTGAGCGATTGTGGGTCGTCTGACCCATGGTTACCCGTCTGCACCTGGCCGCGATGGCTTGGCGCGGGAGCGTCTGAGGGGCGGACATGACGTACCATGTCCTGCCCCTTGTTTCTTGCGATGCCACATGTCGCGCATCATGCGTAGAGCCCTGACAGGGCCAGCCGAAACGTCACCTCTGTGGTATTTCAAATTTGAAACTTGCTATAAGTGGCGTTGGGAGCAATTTTCTCCGCCATTCTTGCTTCCTCTTTCGAGAAAACATCGTCTTCTTCCGCTCTATTTCTTCTGCGTGATTAAGATCTTTTCTCTCGCCGATTGCTATAAAAGCCGATCGTTTCTCAGGTAAGCTTCTACTTCGATCTGGCTAGTTTTGGGGAAGAGGAGATCTAATCTGGGAGGAGTTTGCAGCTCTAGGCCATGGCTAAAGTCGAAGAAGAAGAACAGAGAGAGAAAGGGGCACATTTTATTTTTTTTATTTTTTTTTAAATTGACATGTCATTAGCTTAACGGTCTAGTCAGTAGTTCTGTTTACCACATCAGCAAAAAATTGACGGAGTTAACGGAGTTTGACGGAGACTAACGGCCGGTGACTAACGGTGAAACGATTCATAAAGTTAGTGTCGAATAAAAAAGAAAAATAATTCGAGTGGCAAACGTGAAAGATTTATGTAATTTGAGTGACCAAACGTGTAATTTAGTCCATTGATAAATGAACGATTCCAAGTTCTAAAGGGGTTACAGTGGTTTGATTAATATTAATGAATTTAATTTCTATGAATATAAACACAGGGAAGGCTAGCATGGGTAGTTGATTTGGGAGATTGAGTGTGCAAATTACGATGTTTTGATTTAGCTGTTGGTTACTTAGTTGCTAGCGTATTAAATATGTCTATATGACTTAAAAGGAAAGGAGCAAGCAGGCGAATACTCACGAGGCAGGAAAATTGCAGTGTAACATAAAAAGTAGTGAGTAAATTCTAACCTATTAACCATATTAATATGAATATGGTATTCGGCTCATGAAGTGGCCCGAATATGGAACATGAAATCTGCGATTGATAGATTGCTATGACTATATGTGTGTGAATGAAATTATATGTGATCAATGATGGGTGAATGTGATGTGTGCCTGACTATTTGATGATATGTGCGAAACGTGATAGATGATGATTATGAACGGGGAATGAAATGCGTATGTGATATGGAATGGCCTAAAAGGCGACATTACAGTATAGAAAAGACTATGATGCTATGGGGGGATAATGTATGGCCTGAATGGCTATACGATTATACTGGGATAGTCTAATTGGCTATCGTGTGATTAATGGAAAGCATGTTATTCAGAAATGTGATACTGGGAAGCTTATAAGGAGACGATGTGATTATATGAAATGGTGAATGTGACTGTGTGAATGTGATGAATACATAAATAGATATGTGTTAAATGATTGATGATACTGCTTGCTATATGTTATGTGACTAACTAAAGAATTGCCTGATCACCTAAATCAAACTTAATGACGCCATGTCATGTACTCTATGAGATTCGATAATGCGGCTTTATGCCTAGCTCTCTGGGAGAGCGATACCAGGCCTGGTCATTGGCGATGCTTAATGCATCTATTGGCGGTGCCTAAGGCATCTATTGGCGGTGCTTAATGCATCTATTGGCGATGCTTTATGCATCTACTGGATATACCCGGGGGAGTGCATGACTTGGCAATTTAAAGGCTAAAAGGCATGCAATCTGGCTAGCGCTATGTGTGTGTACTAATGAGTGTACTAATGTGTGTGTATGTGTGTACATGTGTGTGTTGGGTACGTTATTACTATGAAATGAAATACTTATGCATGCTATACCCGATGGAACATTTATGTGTGCTATACTCCATGGATTACAGTGATTTATATGAGATACATATATGTGGATAAGTGATTGGGAATGAAATATATGTGTAGATGAGCATGAATGGATTTGAATGGCATGAATGGTTATACGATTGAGCATATATATACATAGATGATATTAAAGTAGTACGAGACAAAGGGTTGAGCTAGAAAATATGATTATGGAGTTGGGTAGGTGATATGAGAATGATTGGGAATTTAGCATGAGATAAAAGATCTCACGAGAATATAGTTTAGGGATTGTTGCTTAGTAGATGGGATTTGACTTCACTCGTTATCATAGTAGTATTGATATTGTTAATAGATTAGGGTTTACTCATTGAGTGACGTCTCACCCCGTCAATATTTTTCCCAGATCAATAGCTAAATGGTCGAACGCTATGGGAAGAAGCAAGTTCAAGCTTGATGGTGGCGAGGTGGGCGGCAGACTGAACTCTCCACATTGTTTTACATGAGGCATTTGAAGATGGGGGTTTCCCAAAATTTTGTTATGAACCAAGAGTTTAACGATTTTGATAAATAGATGATGATGATGTGCATTATTTAAATGGTTTTAATTATGAAAAAGTAGTAGGGTGTTACATCACCTTGAAATATAATCAAGATAGATATCGCGAAGACTTTCAACTCTGTGGACTGGAAACTTTTTGTGGAAGCTATTGGTTTCCCTCAACAGTTTCTAGATGGATAGCAATGCCACTCCAAAACTCAGAATAGGTTTCGATTTGCCGATGATTGGATATTTTGAAGCACAAAAGAGATTGAGGCAACGAGATCTTTTGTCCCTTTATCTATTTGTCATAAGATTGAAATATTCACTTATTTGATGCTTAGAGCCGTTGAAAGCAATTATGTTCCTCTCCACCCAAAATGTAAAAGGTTGGTCCTCACCCATCTTATGTTTGCTGATGACCTACAATTATTGTCGAATGACTCAAATTATGGGATTCCTTGTGTTCAAAGGGTCCTAGCATCTATTAGAAAGTTGTTTGGTTTTGTTTCTAATCCCTCAAAATGCAAACTATAATGTGTTGAACTCCCACTGGAGTTGCAAAAGCAAATGACAATCAGGGTTGGACACAATTTGGGATCACTCCAATTCATATATCTTGGACCACCCCTGAAACCTGGAAAGCTTTTTGTAAAAGACTGTAAGTCTTTTATTGATAAACTGATTTCAAAGACAAAAAGTTGGAGACCTAAGTTTCCTATTTATGCATGTAGAGTTCAGTTGGTTTACAAAATTTGGGATGAGAGTTTTTGTCCTTCTCAAGTCAATCATTAAGTTGATTAAAACTGTGTAGTGAATGTCTTTGGAATATTGCTTGTATCTTAACACATTTGGATTTTATTGCTGAAGTATGGATACCTTTGGTTGCTTAGACATTGGAATACGAACTAAAGAGGCATGATTTTTGAGCTTTAACTGGGACATCTGGTTCCTGAATTGATAGAAATTGGTGAAGTGCAGAGATAAAGTAAGCACAATGCAAGAAGAGTGGAGTGCAGTGGAGTCTCCTGGGTAGATATAGAATAAAAATTGATTAATACTATTTTAGAGAAAAGGAACTCCCTATTCCATGGATTTATCTAGTCTGGAAACTTCCATCCATTTACACAAATTAGTTCTTGTTGTGGCTTATTATTTGAGATGATATCTATACATGTGCCAAAATGTTGAAATGAGGTTATAATGGCTTCACTGAATGTGTTCTTTGCGGCAGGGATACATAATCGAAGTTGCATTTATGTGTTGCTTGCCCAACATATAAAGAGTTGTTTGCAGGCTTAGTCTGAATATAATCACAAAACTACTAGTGATGGTTGGGATGTTAAGCTGCAATGGGTAGGTGGAGAATCCAGGAGGAAAATTGCAAAAGCAAAAGTAGGAAGGCTGGTTCGGAGTTCACTGTTGAGTTCTGTTGGGGGACAAGTGTTGGGCCACAGGGCGCACAGGCCCAAGCGCCCAAGAGTGAATGGAGGAGCAGGCCCAGGTGGACGATTAAGGCTCGATCGAGAACGGTCCATTGGGGGACATAGACCAACGGAAAGCCGCATAGGCCCAAGCCCACATCAGAATTGAGAGAAGGGAATGAAGAATGCAGACTAAGCCCAATGAAGGGTGGTCAGGCGCATAGTGACGAAAGTAGGGCGGGGACCAGGCATTTAGGGAGAATGATGAACTGGGAACGCGCCACCTGGCAAGGTGGTCCCGGCGAGCGCCTAGGCAGAAGTCGCCACGTGTAAGCGCCCGACCGTTGGGCCGTACCAAGCATTTAATGAGGGCTGACGTGGATGCTGAATTCCAGGAGCCTGGTCTGGACCTCGACGAGTATAAATAGTACTCGGTAGGTAGCATTTAAGCGGGTTGGCTTCTCTCACTAGAAACATCACTCTACACTTAT